CCCCCCCCGCCGCCGGGCCCGCCTCCGTCGAGGCCGGCTGGGAGAAAGCTGCCGAATGGCTGGAACGCCCCAGGAGACCCTGCGAGAGCCCCGAAGCCCGCGGTCACCAGGCGCCTGGGCTGGCAAGGGCTCGTTCCTTCGTTCAGCAAACACGAATGTGCGGTTTGTGCTGGGGTCACGCTAGGAGGTGATGGCGGCCTCCGTCTGGCCCCTGGAGGGCAGGCAGCGGAGCTGCAAAGCAGCCTGGAGGTGGTTTTCCCACATTCCACACCACCGCTGGGGATGGCACCTGGCAGCTGTGAGGTGGGGTGGCTCTCCTGGGCTGGGCCTGCACCATTTGGGGACAGAGCCCGAGCCAGGCCCCCGGGAGTACCCTGGGAGTCAGCCCGACTGCCTGGCAAGAGAATGGGTCTCAGCCAGGAGGAAAATGGGGGAGCCCTCTGGCGTCAGTGTTGAGCAGGCCTCTGTTGAGGCCTTGCTGGGAAGGGGACACTTGCCCTGAGTGCTTTGTTGCCTCTGTCCCTTCTGCCCCAGGGAGGGGAGGAACAGGGTGGGGTCGAGACTCACAGCTGGGTTAAGGCTGGCCCTCTCAATGTGTCTGGAGGAAGAGGGCGCCTGCTGTGGGCTGTGGGCTGGGCCGGTGCCCAGGTGCACTGGGTTGGGGCTGTGGCATTGGGCACAGAGCTGCAGGGACAGGAGCGCCATGACGATCTAAGAGGTGGGCAGGCCTGGCAGGGCTGGCGGCAGGTGCAGCCTGAGTGAGTAGGAGCTCCAGATGAGACCCCCTGGGTGCCCCTGGCTGGTGCAGGGAGGGGGATGGGAGGGGCCTGGATCCCTGCCTGGAGGCCTCCCCAGGAATACTCAGGGCCCCAGCCCGGAAGCTGTGTGGGGCAGGAGGAGCCGCCCACTGTGTGGAAAAGCCTGCCTGGGCCAGGAAGAGGGTGAGGGTGGATGTTGCCCCGGGAGCCTTGCAGGAGGGATGTGGGCCTCCCAGGGCAGGGTGCTGTGGAGGAGAGGGGTGGCACTGGGCAGGACTGTGAGGCTGGGTGCCCACTGCCCACAGCTGGCCATCCTGCTTGGGAACTGAGTCTCAGTGATGGTGCCAGGAGGCTGCCCTGGACTCTCGGCCAGGAGGAGCCTGACAGAGTGATGGCCCCGGCAGACCGTAGTGGCACCATGGTCACCATTTGCCAGACCCAGGTCTATCCCACGGAGGCGCCTGTCAGATCGGAAGGAGGAGGAGGGTGGTACCCAGAGACCGCAGCCTCCATGTGTCGGGGTTGGGCTCGCCCATCCCTGTGGCGCCGGGACACCCTCCACCTGGAGGTTCAGAGAAACAGCAGGGGTCACGGGAGGGAAGGCGTAGGCATGCTCTACCACTGCCCGCCCTGAGAGAAAGCGGTGCCCACAGCCCAGGGAGCTCCACGCTCCAGACCCTCCTGGGGGACAGGAAAGATGGATGGTGTGAGGGTGTAGTGTCCCCTTCCCTTTCCTCTCTGTGCGACCTCATCTTCTCTGGCTGAGATTCCTGGGTTCGCAGTGGTTAGGTTAAAGGACTTCTCTGGTGGGGACGGGACTTCATGGAGGAGGGGAGGGGATGTATGGTGGGGCCAGCAGGTGGCATGGTGGCCTAGGTGCTGGACTCTGCGTGGCCTGCCACAGTTCAATTCCCAGACCCGGTGGCTTGAAAATCACACCAGGCCCGCGCGTGTGTGCCCCAAATCCTGGAAGGAGAATGGAGGAGAAGGGATTGTGTGCCCCCCCAGGGGGTGATTGTTCACTTTCCTTCTCTCTGTTTCTCTGGGGGGACAGGGGACATGCACCCTCTGGCAAAAACCTGAAAAGCAAAAAGCAAAAGAAAGGTGGTCTGGTTACGAGGAGCCTGACACCCGGTTGGTTCCGACGTAGACCTCCCGCACAGATGCACAGCCCTTTAGCAGCACAGCCTTCACAGCCACTCCGTGTCCACAGGTGCTCAGAACAGCCAGCTCGAAGTCGGCAGAGAAGGCTATTTTCAGGTGGCATATTTCAGCCTCCTGTCATCATATTTTGGGGTAGTGTGTCCTGAGCCCAGGAGCAGTACTCAGAAGCAGGTTTAATGTCCCCATTCTTCTGATGGAGAACTGAGACAAGGAGAGGTTAAGTAATTGCCAGGGATCTGGGTCAGCAGGTGGCATGGAGGTTCAGGCACTGTATCCCACATAACTGACTGTGGATCGAGTCCCGGACCTGGTGGGTTGAAAATCATGTCAGGAGTGTGTGTGCCTAAAATCCCAAGAGCAGAATTGAGAAGGGATTGTGTGGTGTGGCCATCCCCCCAAGGGGTGGTTTCTTTCTCTTTCTCTCTCTCTCTCTCTCTCTCTCTCCTTCTGGTGAGTTTATGGGCCCTACAGCAAAAACTAAACAAAAAAATTAATCATTGCTCAGGGCCACAACCACGGGAGTCAGACTCCAGGGTCTTTACCCAGCCACTCACCGTCTGCCTGCACTCCAGGCCTCTTGCCATTGTTCCCGCCCCTGCACCCCTGAGAGGCCACCAGGGCTGAGGAGCA